GACGACGTCGAACAGCAACAACAGCAACAACAGCGGCAACAACAACAAAAACGACAGCCCCGTCCGAGGCGCGGGCGAATCACGGAGGAAGAGGCCGGTCAAACTGCCCAGCTGGGCGAATAGGGCAGTCAAGGATGGGCAGTGACGGCGGCGGATGTCGGCGGCGATTGCTGACAGGTGTTTCGGTTTATTTTGGTTTCGGTTTAGGTCTTGGTCTCGTTTCTCAAGATACCCCCCGCCCTTGAAGATTTGGCGTTGGAGACGAGGACAAGGGAAGACGGTTGATAGGGTTTGTCTGGGAGGGTCTCGATGGGGTCGATGTGAGTTTCGGGGCTCTGACGGACACTTCCTTTTCTCGTGGGTCAGGTAGCGTCACGCTCGTAGCTCACATGACAAGGGAGGACCCTCGACTGATATGGCATGTACCCTATAGTTGTGTGTGACTTTGACTGTATCATGGCAGAATACAAAATGAGCGTTGTGGCGAGGGAAAGGAGCATCGCAGAGTTGTGATCCAGCAATGACGGCCATGAGAAGGACGTGTCCCACTTTTCTGTCGTCTTCGATCATTCACAAGAGAAAAGAATAAAAAAAAAAGCCTACACAAGAAGGCCTCCTTCATTGTCAGATCCTGGGCAGCTCACAGACAGTTGGATGTGTCAGGGTGAGCTGTTGCGGGACATCTGGCAAACTGTACCGGCGTCGAGGTCGCTAGCGGTGGACAGTGGACCGCGGATAGTGGCATCGTGCCATGGATGCGTATTTGACTCTTGGGAGCAAAAGCCGGGCGTAGTGAGGGAGTTTAGACCAATGAGGAGAGGGGTAATTCCCCCCAGGCAATGACTTGCAGGCGTGGCGGTGAGTGGCCAGAGAAGGCCAGATGTCCACTAAAGACCGCTACTATTTGTACCGTGTACATGTACGTACGGGGCCACAGGGGCTTGAGGGCTGCAGCGCGGGGCTCACGCTCGAGGGCCAGGCGGCAAGGGGCCAATGGGGCCGCTCTCGCAGACTTTTTTCTGGGCCGAGCGAGGAGGGATCCCGAGACGCCGAGGGCATGGTCTGTTTTCTGCTCTTGCAGGTACAGGGTCCCCGCCATGTGAGGTACACAGTGTCTGGGGCCGGACATCAGGGGGGGGCACAGTCAGTGCGTGTTGGGTGACGCGCAGGGGCCTTAACACAGTGCGTGCGCCTTGCCGAGACGGTCCGGGCCCCACCAGGCCTCGCTTGACCACCGCGCGGGCAGTCACCGGAACGGGGTTTGCGAGCCTCTGTCGACCCATGGACCTGTGACTGACGACTGACTGCAGCAGGACTGACCCGAGTGCACTAAGGAACTTGCCTGGCTCGAACGTGCCTGCCCTGTGCTTGTGTGGCTAAGACCGTTTTTGACAACTTGAGGTACTCCGCCGACTCTCGCCTCCCCTCGCCTCGCCTCGCCTCTTCTTCTTTATTACTTTCCACCGCTCCGCCCCCCCCCCCCCTCTCTCCTCTCTCGCTACCCGTCAATTCGCCTTCTTCTCACGATCACGGTTGCTTCGTGCCACGCAAGACTCTGCCTCTCTTGACTGACTGTCGAGTGCGGTCGCCAATTGCGTCAAGCCGCCTACTGTATCAAGTTCGCCACAGACCACTACTGGCCTCCATTATCCAACACTCTCCCACAACACCGCTTGTTCTTCTTTCGAAACCCCCCCCCCATCCTCGTCGCCCCACGCCATCATGGAAGCCGCTCTGCGCCAGTCCAAGGCCATGTGCCCCTTCATGAAGAATGCCTCGGCCGCCAAGCTCCGCGCCATGTCGACCTCGACCCGCCCCGCCATCGCCGCCTCGCCCTGCGGCGGCACCATGTCCAAGCTGCAGCTGTACGCCCACCGCTGCCCCGTCATGGGCAAGGCCATGAACGTCCAGACGGCCGCCCAGCCGACTGCGCGCTCGACCGTCGGCGGCCCCTCGTTCGTCTCGGGTCTCCGTGCCATGAGCAGCCAGCCCAAGGCGGCTGCTGCTGCCGCTGCCGCGGCCGCCGCCACCACCGGCAAGGCCAAGATTCACACGAGCTCCAACCGTGATGCTCGTGCTGTCGAGGGCAATGCTGCGACCTACGATCGTCGGGGTATGTCTTTCTTTTTCTCTCCAGCCAACCCCTCCCCCTTCCCATGGTACAAGCATGCTTGCTAACCCGCCGCAACAGCCCAGCTCCCGCCCAACATGGCCGCCGCCGCGGCCGCCCGCCCCGGTTCGGCCGCCGCCATCTCGGACGCTTCGCAGGCCAAGTTCAACTACGACGCCTTTTACAACGCCGAGCTCGAGAAGAAGCACAAGGACAAGTCGTACCGCTACTTCAACAACATCAACCGGCTCGCCAAGGAGTTCCCGCGCGCGCACATGGCCAACAAGGAGGACCGCGTCACCGTCTGGTGCGCCAACGACTACCTCGGCATGGGCCGCAACCCCCACGTGCTGCGCACCATGCACGAGACGCTCGACGAGTACGGCTCGGGCGCCGGCGGCACGCGCAACATCTCGGGCCACAACAAGCACGCCGTCGAGCTCGAGGCCACGGTCGCCAAGCTGCACTCCAAGGAGGCGGCGCTCGTCTTCAGCTCGTGCTACGTCGCCAACGACGCGACGCTCGCGACGCTCGGCAGCAAGATGCCCGACTGCGTCATCCTGTCCGACAGCCTCAACCACGCGTCCATGATCCAGGGCATCCGCCACTCGGGCACCAAGAAGATTGTCTTCAAGCACAACGACGTGGCCGACCTCGAGGCCAAGCTGGCGTCGCTGCCGCTGCACGTGCCCAAGATCATCGCCTTTGAGTCGGTCTACAGCATGTGCGGCTCGATCGGGCCCATCGAGGCCATCTGCGACCTCGCGGACAAGTACGGCGCCATCACGTTCCTCGACGAAGTGCATGCCGTCGGCATGTACGGCCCGAGCGGCGCCGGCGTGGCCGAGCACCTCGACTTCGAGACGTACAAGCAGGGCGGCGACACGCGCGGCACGATCCAGGACCGCGTCGACATCATCACGGGCACGCTCGGCAAGGCCTACGGCTGCGTCGGCGGCTACATTGCCGGCAGCGCGCGGCTCGTCGACATGATCCGGTCGCTGGCGCCGGGCTTCATCTTCACGACGTCGATGCCGCCGGCGACCATGGCCGGCGCCAAGACGGCCATCGAGTACCAGATGGGCTACAACGGCGACCGCCGCCTGCAGCAGCTGCACACGCGCGCCGTCAAGGAGGCGCTCGGCGAGCGCGACATTCCCGTCATCCCGAACCCCTCGCACATCATCCCCATTCTCGTCGGCAACGCCGAGCTCGCCAAGCGCGCCTCGGACATGCTGCTCAGCGACTACCAGATCTACGTCCAGTCCATCAACTACCCGACCGTGCCCGTCGGCCAGGAGAGGCTGCGCATCACGCCGACGCCCGGCCACACGAGGGCGTTCCGCGACCAGCTCGTCGCCGCCGTCGACGCCATCTGGACCAAGCTCGACCTCAAGCGCACGTCGGCCTGGGCTGCCGAGGGCGGCTTCATCGGCGTCGGCGAGGCCGAGGGCGCCGCCACGGAGCAGCCGCTGTGGACGGACGGCCAGCTCGGCATCGAGGCCGCCGTCGACGCCATCAAGGCGTCGGGCCACGGCGCCGCGGGCCTCACCGAGGCTCTCCTCGCGCGCGAGGCCACGGCGTAGCGGGGGGGCCGAGGCAGGGGACGTTTTGCGTCCTCCGTTGGTTTGCGGCGTTTGCGGGTTGCACTTGCACGTGGACCTGCCAACGCAGACACGCTGCATGACGTGCCTGGGGCTTGCTCTGCTCTGCCTGTGCTCTGTTGCCCAATGTCACGACTCTGACAAGGGCCCGACTTTCACTTCGAAACGGATGCCCATATGATGCATACCGTGCCATCCAGCGATCGCTGTGGTGCTTTGAATAAAAATGACATGTGGCCCGCTGAGGGTCACAGTTCTGCCACCGTCAGGTTGCAGGCTACACACTTTCTTGTCCCCCTTGCTGCGTGATGCCTTTTGGTCGTGAGAATGCTCCGTGTCGTAAAGTCTGTTGTGTGCATGCGTATTTCCATTGCCAGCCTGCGAGCCTGCGAGCCTGCGTCGTATAGCCGGGCGTGATTCGCTTTGTGGTGCCGGCCTTGCCGTGCCTCCAGTGAGTAAGGGGTGGGACGCTATTGACCGTGTCTTATGATGCCACGGTCACATTTCGTGCGGCGTCTTCCAGCATACTACAGGTATGCATGGAGCAGCAGCAGAAGACAGAGTTTGGTAGTCCAACAGAGGCCTCGGCCAGGGGTTCGCGATTGTCTGCGCCTGCCTCCGCACCTACGGTCCTGCCACCTACCTCAGCAGGTCCTGCCACCTTATTTTATCTTAATCATATCTTACTCATCAAAAATTTCATTAAATCTACATTTTTATTACCTCAGGCAGGAGCGTGCAAGGTCCTGCCACTTACCTCAGGCAGGTCCTGCCACTTACCTCAGGCAGGTCCTGCCACTTACCTCAGGCAGGTGCACGGTCACGTGCCTCGCCGACGGAGGGCGAGGCAGAACCCTCCGTCGGCGAGGCAGAACTTGGTCCGTCTCCAACGGAGTCGGAGCAAACCCCCTGGCCCCAACCCACCACATCGAGCACATTGCACCTCGCCCATTGGCCGGCGACCTGGATTCTGTTGAATCAACGACTCTTGTCTCACGCCGACCTTCTGGGCACTCCTCCCCCCAGGAGGAGGCACGCGTGAAGCACTAGGAAGGGGGGGGGGGGGCTGCGCCTGGATGTCCTGGATGACAACTTGGAGTGGGAAAAAGAGAGACGAGCGCTTGGACGGATGAGCCGGTTACGGGAATGCCCTTGTTTTCGTCATTCAGCTTCGCTTCGACTTTTTCGTCTCGCCACACAGCTGTGCCATCGAAGAACAAATTATACTTCAGACGACACCTCGTGGCCGATGTCACTCGGAGAAGCAGATGAGCTCGGAGCCCGCCATGACCTCTCTCACGGAGCCCGAAGACGTGGAGCCCGGCCACACGGCCAACAAGGGACCCAAGGCCTGTACCACCTGTGCCAAGGCAAAGTCGAGATGCATCCCGGGTCCGCCGGACAGCGACAAGTGTGAGAGGTGAGAAGAGCCACCCCCTGGGCCCGCGTCCCTCGCGCCGTCTCCGTCTCCGGCTCCGTCTGCCTCGCACCACGGGGCACCGAAGACGGCCGAAGACGAAGCCAACCCAGAGAGTCGCTTACTGACCGCCGTCTCTGTGGTTTCCCCCCACCTATAGATGCCATCGCCTGCAGAAGCCGTGTGCGTCCCAGACGCCGGCGCCGCCCCGTGCAAAGAAGGAGCCGAGGCCGACGCGGGTGGCCGAGCTCGAGAAGCGCCTCAATGAGTTGACGTCGCAGCTGCACGCCGCGAAGACGTCGCCCGCCGCTGCCACGACGACGACCACCGCCACGACGACCAGCACTGTGGTGCCGTCTTCTTCTTCGCACCCGTCGCCCTCCGTCGCGCGGCCCGCCGCCAAACCCGTCGGCGTCCCCTTCGGCCACCTCTTCCCCGGCGCCGGCGCCGCGCTGGATCCCCCACCCGTCGCCGCCGCCGCCACCGTCGCGAGTCCGACCTCGCCCGAGAGCCTGCCCAGCACGCAGGCGACGCCCATGCCGTCCGACGCATCGTCGTCGGCGCGCGCCCGCGAGATCACCTGGCCCACCGGCGCCCAGGCCGACGCCGACCTGCGCCTGTACCGTGGCGGCATGCAGGACCTGTTCCCCTTTGTGCTGCCGCCGCCCGACATGGACGCCGAGACGCTGGCCTCGGCGCGCCCGTTTCTCTTCAAGGGCGTCGTCGTCGTCGCGAGCCACTACGACGCCTACCGCCAGCTCGTGCTCGGCGACAGGATGCTGGCCGAGGTCGCCCAGGCGGCCCTGACCAAGCCGCACAAGAGCCTGGATCTGCTGCAGGGGCTGCAGCTGCTGGTTGCCTGGTGAGTGAGCAGGCCCGTGAAGCCCCCCCGTCTCCACTGCGCCCGTCTCCAGCCCGGCTCGTCCGTCTGCGGCGCCGCTGACCCGTGCCAGGTTCCACTACAACATGAACAGCTACCAGCTGACGAACCTGCTGTACCTGGCGCGGTCCATGTGCGTGACGCTCGGGGCCAGGGACGCGCAGGTCGGTCTCACACCGACGGAGGCCGCCGCCCGCCGCCTCGAATACATGCGCGCCTTTCTGGGCTGCTACTACCTCAACGCGCTGTAAGCAACTGAAGTCCCCCCCCCCTAAGTCTGCCATGACCGAGAGCGGCATCTGGCAAGGTCACACGAATTTGTCTGACGTCGGTGGGGCAGTGTCTTCACAACGAACAAGAGGCCAGACGCCTTTATGAACACGACCTACCTCGATGGCTGCTGCAAGGCCGTCGAGGACGAGGCCGAGCACGCGAGCGACGTGCTCCTCGTCAAGCTCTTCCGCATCCAGCAGCTCGCCCAGACCATCTCGCTGACGCTGGGCGCCGACAGCGCGGCGTTTCCGTCGATGCAGGTGCCCCTGACCATGGTCGTGCAGTCGTTCCAGCAGCAGCTCGACCTCTTCAAGTCGACGCTGCCGGCCGCCGTGCAGACCAACGCGACGCTGCTCTCGCACGTCGCCATCGCCGAGGTCCTCCTCTACGAGATCGGCCTGCCCGAGAGCCACAAGACGGGCGCCCTCATCCCGCACACCGACCGCCTCGGCCTGCTCTGGAACTGCCTCACGGCGGCCAAGACGTTCATGGACATACGCTTTGCCGCGTCGAACCTGCGGCCGCGCTTCATCTGCCTCAACGCCTCGGACTGGCTCTTCGCCGTGCTCGTCGCCCTCAAGCTGCGCACCATGGAGCTGCCGGGATGGGACCTCGGCGTCGTCGACGCGCACCTGCCGCTCGAGCAGATGGTCGACAGGCAGATCCAGGACATGGACCAGCTCATCGCCAAGCGCGCCGAGGGCAGCCGGCCCGGCGACGCGCTCGCCTGCTCGTCGTCGCAGTCGCAGGGCTTCCTCGACCCCTACGAGCGCAACCGGCAGGTCATCAGCCACCTCAAGTACCTCGCGGCGCGGGAGCTCAACGCCCTGAGCGAGGCCGCCGGCCGCACGCCCGAGTGCGGGCTGACGGTCGTCGCGGCCGTCGCGGCCCATGCCGCGTCGGCCGGTGCGCCGCCGCATGCTGTGCCGCCGGGCCTGTCGGGCGGCGGGCTGGCGGGGCCGGCCATGGCGACGGACACGATGATGCGGGATCTCGACGCGTCGTTCTGGTCGGATGCCTTTTCCGACCCGAGCTGGCTGTTTGGCGATACGGCGACGGCGGCGGCCGCAGAGATGGACTGGAATTATTGATATGGAACGACGCGGCAGCAAGACCTGCGAGTGGCAAGCAAAACGGGCTGGCGTTTGGGTGGATTGATTGAGGGATTACACGGACGGGGTAGAAGGATGTACAATGACAGCTAGAAGCAGATGAGAGTGAAGCTTTTACGCCGGGCGTGACTACGCCCCAACTTTCACGAGCCTTACCCTGTCTTGCTGGATCTGCTTGATCTGGTTCGGTTGATGGATGGTTCGGCTGTAGTCGGCTCACCGACTCACCGAGCGGTACTCATCAGGTTCCTCGGTCACCTTGGCCACCTTGGCTGTCACACAGAAATGTCGCAACCGCATCATCCTCGCCACCAGCCCTGAGAGCGGAACAAGCAGTTGCCTTACTGTATTTCTTTTTTTTCTCTCTCTCTCTCTCTCTCTCATATGAACACCACGATGAAACCAGTCGACTACTCGCTCTACCTCGTCACCGACTCGACGCCCGGCATCCTCGGCACGGCGGACCTCGTGTCGGTCGTCGAGGCGGCGTGCCGCGGCGGCGTGACCGTGGTGCAGTACCGCGAGAAGCAGGCCGACACGGGCACGCTGGTGCGCACGGCGCGGGCGCTGCACGCCGTGACGCGGCGCCACGGCGTGCCGCTGCTCGTCAACGACCGCGTCGACGTGGCGCTGGCCGTCGGGTGCGAGGGCGTGCACGTGGGCCAGGACGACATGGACCTCGCGACGGCGCGCCGGCTGCTGGGCCCAGCGGCCCTCATCGGCGTCACGGCGAGCACGCTCGACGAGGCGCGCGCCGCGGCCCGGGGGGGTGCCGACTACCTCGGTCTCGGCACCGTGTTCGCGACGGCGACCAAGACGAATACGAAGCACATCATCGGCACGGCGGGCCTCAGGGCGATCCTCGACGGGCTGGCGCGCGACGACGCGGCCGCCGCGGCCGCCGTCAAGACGGTCTGCATCGGCGGCATCCACGCCGGCAACGTTCAGCGCGTGCTCTACCAGTCGGCGGCGCCGACCAAGGCCCTCGACGGCGTCGCCGTCGTCAGCGCCGTCGTCGCGGCGGTGGACCCGGACGCGGCGTCGCGCAGCCTGCTGACCCTCGTGCGCAGCCCACCGCCGTTCACGCGCGGCGTTCTCGCGGCGGGGAGCCCCGGCGCCGCGTCCTCGGCCGAGGCCGTGCTGGCGCTCGTGCCGGACGTCATCCGCGCCGTGGCCGCGCAGGCGCCGCTGTCGCACAACATGACGAACCTCGTCGTGCAGAACCTGGCCGCCAACGTCGCCCTCGCCGTCGGCGCGTCGCCCATCATGGCCAACTTTGGCGACGAGGCCGTCGACCTCGCCGCCCTCGGCGGCGCCCTCGTCGTCAACATGGGCACCGTCACGCCCGAGGGGCTCGACAACTACGCCAAGGCGCTGCGGGCGTACAACGCCGTCGGGCAGCCCGTCGTCTTTGATCCCGTGGGGTGAGTCTACCTCCCGGTCCATCCATACATCCATGAACCCCCCCCCCCCTCAGAGCTAACAGCCTCAGCGCCGGCGCAACCGCGGTCCGCCGCGCCGCCGTCAAGACGCTCCTGGCGGCGGGCTATCTCGACATCATCAAGGGCAACGAGGGCGAGGTGACGACGGTGTTGGGCGAGGCGCCGCCGCAGCAGCAAAAGGGCGTCGACTCGTCGCCGTCGACGCTGACGGCCGCGGCCAAAGCGTCGCTCGTGCAGCGCCTCGCGGCCCGCGAGCGCAATGTCGTGCTCATGACGGGCGCCGTCGACTACGTCTCGGACGGCACGCGCACGTTTGCCGTCGCCAACGGCCACGCGCTGCTCGGTGCCGTCACGGGCACGGGCTGCTGTCTCGGCACCACCGTCAGCGCCATGGTCGCGGCGCAGCGCGCGGGCGGTGGCGACGGCGACAGGCTTGCGGCCGTCGTGGCGGGGCTGCTGCATTATGAGATTGCCGCCGAGAGGGCTGCTGTGCGGGACGACGTCAAGGGGCCCGGCAGCTTTGTGCCGGCGTTCCTCGACGAGCTGGCGAGGGTCAGGCAGATGACGGTTGACGGGGATCTGGCCTGGCTTGCTGCAGCCAAGGTGAGCCTGGTTGAGGAGGCATGATCTCGATCCATGATCTCGATCCATGATCTCGATCCATGATCTGGATCTATGATCGCGTTTCCATCATGGGTCACATGGGTCGATGAGCGGGAGACCGAGCGAGGGAGGACGGCGACGGTGAAGAGAAATGCATTGTGTATATGACCATTGTGTATATGACCAACGTATAGAAATAGACAGGTAGACAAAAACAGCCACTCCCACCCGAGAGAATGCTTGCAACATTACCTCCCATGTCACAGCAACGCCTGCAGGCTGTCCTTGGTGGCTTTGCCCGTCTCCTTGACAATGCCGACGATGCCCTTGAACTCGGCAACCTTGGCATCGCCCATGAGCTCGTACAGCACGCTCTCGCTCGTCGTGACGGTGGCGCCCTCGCCCCTGAGCCTCGCCAGCGCGACGGCAATCTCCTCCTTGTTGCAGCTGCTGACGCCGTCGGCGCAGACGTAGACCTTGTGCCCGTTGGCGATGAGGTCAATGGCCGTCTGCGTGATGCAAATGTGCGACTCAATGCCCACGAGGATGACCTCGGCCTTGTCGCCGCCCTCGAAATGCTTGGCCACGCCGGGCACCCACATGCTGAAGCGCGTCTTGTCGACGACGGGGTGGACGAGGTCGGACGGCGTCAGGAGGGATTCGAGCTCCGAGACGGTGGGGCCGAGGCGCGCGCCGTTCTGGGTCGTCGTGTGGACGGGGACGCGCAGGATGTGGGCAGCGCGGAGCAGCTTGGCCGTTGTCGCGATGACGGCGTCAAAGTTCCAAATAGCCGGGCGGAACTTGTCCTGGATGTCGCAGATGCTTTTGGGCGTTCGTTAGCGACGGGCGTTGCAAGCTGCGGCATGGCAAGCTGCAGCACGGCAGCATCTCAAGACGGCAAGGGGCTCACAAGACGACGGGCCGCTGGAAACGACGCTGGGGCAGAGGTTGATCGGCCATTGTGGTGAGGAAGCGGGACGGGGATCGGGATAGAGGTTGCAAGCGCGCCGCCAATGGTCGTCGTAGTGGTTGTGTTCGCGTGGGTCGTGTGCTTGGAAGCTGAGGTGAGATGATTCTTGTATTGACAAAGCGCATGCCCAGAGGTGAAGATGGCGGTGACGGCGAACGGTGGTAGGATACGCAAGCTGGAATGAGCAGTGGATTCGGGACGATGAGGCGAAATAGTGGTGGGGAAGAATCAAAAGCAGTGCCGGAGGAGAGGAGCCGAGGTCGGTCCCCAGACCCTGGGCAGTGAGTGATGAATTTGCAGCTCGAGAGGCAGACAAAAGCAGATGGAGGCAGATGTAGATATAGATGTAGATGAAAATGGAAATGGAGAAGCGATTTTTGCTGTGATTGTTGTGAGCATGTCTCCAGATCAGCACCATGAGAGCAGGGGCAACTGACGTTGCTGCACCAGCCCTTTCTTCCCCGGTGCCGGCCGCGGGGCAAGGGCGACCGCCGGCTCGCAACGGGCAAGGGCGATCAATGGACGACGAGTTGCACGAGGGGCAGGAACATGGCGAGGGGCAGGAGCAGGTGTGGCGGGTCATCCCTGCCATGGGGCTGGGGTCCGCCGCTGGGAATGCGGGGTGGCCTGCCTACCTTACCTTACCTAGGTACCTACCCAAGCTACAAGCTACCTTACCTGTCAGTCAGGCTAGGTGCTTAGGTAGGTAGGTTCCTTCGGGAGGGGATCTTGACTCTATCACCAGCAGAGCTCCTGAACAGCACAGGGAGAGCGACATCGAAGACACAAGACCGAAGTAGAGAGACAGAAGCATTGCAGTCATAAGATATAGTGGCCCACCCCTCCTCCCCCTTTCGAGGGACGAGCATGTCCCAGCCATCTTCCCACCAGTGGCTTCACCGACAAGTCTAAGATACGAATTCGTAAGCCACTCCTTGCTGCCTGCACCCTGCCTGCCTGCTTGCCTGCCTGCTTGCCTGCTTGCCTGCAATGAGGCGTGAGCTCACTCTGCCGTGGCCGTCGGCTTGGCCTTGCCCGCCGGGTTCATCCACGAAAATGCCGACGCCCCGCCAATGGGGTTCGCCGACCGCGGCATCGGCGTGGCCAGCGGCGTCGAGCTCGAGTGCGCATGCGCCTGCGCGGGTGCGTGTACGTGTACGTGCGGCTGGGAGGCCACGCTCGTCGTGCTCGTGACCGTCGTGCTGCGCGCCTCCCGCGGCTGCGTCTGGACGACGCCGCTCGTGCTGGCCGCCCGCCTCGGCTCCCACCGCAGCCCGTTGCTCGATCCGCTGTCGCTGGCGCCGCTGTTCGTCGGCTGACCGCCCTTGCGCCGCTGCTCACCGCTCGTGCGCCGAGGCGGCGCCGGTTCGTACGCCGCACCGGTGCGCGCAGACGATGAAGAGCCACCCGATTTCAGGGGCTTGAGCACCTTCATGTTGCGTGTCCCTCGGCCCGCCGGCTGGTACCCGCTCAGCGGGCCCCCGTCGCGCTGGCCGTTGTCCGCGCCGCCGCCGCCGCCGCCGCCGCCGCCGCCTGTCGCCGGCCCGTGCCGCCACGAGCCCCAGATGCCGCCCGACGATCCCCGCCGCCCGCCATCCGTGCTTCCCGTCACCGACACCGACCCCGACAGCTCCTTGGCCTGCAACTCGCCATCCCCGCCGCTCTCAGACAGGGCGCCCGTGCTGGTGCCGACCGACTTGGCCGTCTCGAGGTCGTCCATCATGGGCGACGGCAGACCGCGCGAGACCTCATCGCCGTCTCGGTCGCAAGACTCGAGCTCGTCCTCGTACTCCCGCGGAGGCGCCACCTGGGCCCGCGGCTCAAACGAGACAAACGGCCTGGCGTTGGCGTTGAGGCGAGGCCTTTCGGGCAGCACATTGGTCGTGTAGATGCGCTTGAAACAGCCATCGTCTTCCGGCCGCACAAACGGCACCGACAGCTTCTCGCGGCCGTTACCGACGAGCGACATGCGATTTTGCGAGAACAAAATGTCGGCCATGTGCGCACGCAACGTGTCGCTGCCGATGAAGATCTGGATGCCCTTTCTCGCCTCTGACCCGTCGCCCTGGTCCATGCCCGTCACCTCAAAAACGGCCGTGATGCTGGGGATCTGGCCGGGGCTCACGGAGCGCCGCGTCCTCTCGGGCGTGGCCTCCACGAGGTAGACGTTCATCCGAATCTTGTAGACGCCGTCGACGTCACGCTCGAGCTCGTCCTCGAGCTCCAGCTCTCTGATCAGCGAGTAGTCAATGACGGACTTTTGCGATCCCGTGCACAGGTCTGCGTACCGCATGGTGGCGTGCGCAAAGTTTGTCGACAGCCAGCATCGGATGATGGACGGCACAGAGCCCAGGATGAAGAACTCGGGTGGAGGTTCCACAGCATCAATGGGCGAGTCGTCCTCGTGACTGCTGACCAGAAAGTTGTCCGTGTGCATGCCCAGGCTGCTGGCTCGTCCCGAGGCCAGTGAGTGCACCGAGTGCACCGAGTGCCCGGCAGAGCTGTGCCTTCCATCCGACTTGTGCGAGAGTGATCGCTCCATCAGCATGCCGCTGCTGGGTCTGGGTGGTCCAAACTCGCCCGAGTGTCGGGCGCTGTGGCTGGCCCAGTCCGACTGGCGAAGGGCGCTCTCGTCAAAGCGAACGCTGTTCGCTCGCGAGGCCGCGCCGCGGCGTGCGGGTTCTTCTTCTGCAGGCCCCAGATGGAGCGAGTTCAGCAGATTGTCCGGCTCGTCCATGTCGTAGAGGTCGTGGGCGCTTACGTGAGTTGGGCCTGGCCACACATTACAGTCAGTTGGGAGGGTTGAAGTGAGTAGGCGGACAGTGGACGAACCTTGCTGAGGCGTGCCGGCCAGCACCCCGGGAAAGGGGTGTTGCTGCCACACAGATTTTAGGTTGGCATCCTGCTCCTGACGTCGTTCCAGCCTGGCGAGCCTCTCGGCCTGACTATTCTGCACTAGCTGGACCTGCTTGAGGTCCATCTGTAGGGTATAGAGCTCGTCTCGTGGGGGTGCGAAGCGGGAATCCATGGGCGTAACGGTGTCTGCTCACTGCGTTGTCGGTCTGCACAGGAGGGTTGCCGGTCGGTTGCAAGTCTCGCGAGCCTGGCGCTTGTACTGGAGTACGGCGGAGCGTGATAGGGACGGATCAAATCGCGGCGGGAAAAGTCGAGCTGCTGCTGGTAAAGCCCGAGTTGACCCTGAAACGGGATCAAAGAGGGAAAAAAGAAAACAAGAAACGCAAGACAAAGGGGCGGTGATTAACGAGAGTATGAAGTTTTCGGATTGGCGTGAGAGGCAGGAAGCACCACGGTCATGTAGCGTTGAGGTTATCGATGGGAATAGCAGTTTGACGGCGGCAAGTGGTTGCAAGGAAGCTGAGCTCGACCTCGATCCCTCAATGTCCGTTCACGAGGTCCACCGCCCCTGCCGCATCGCACAGTGAGACCCGCCTGGTCGTTGTAAATGTAGGCCGTAATCGAGGGGAGTGGACGGCACTGCTTGGCTGTGAGATCCGGGCTGGATGGAGTCAAGTCGGCGGGTGCGACTGCGTCGGTTGCCTTCAGGACGTCGACGTTGGGGTGGGGAGCCGAAGGCAAGGCGGTCTCAATGTGGCAAATGAAAATATTGTTAGTTGATCTGCTGCGAATCACGCCTGGATCGTGGTCGGTGTATGGGACTTGGTGTATCCTATTCTCGGTATGGACTTGGGCAGGACCAACGAGAACTCTTGGCGTTGAGACGGACGAACGGCGTGGCAACAGAAGTGTTCCCTGTGAAGTCTGGCGGATGGAAAACAGCCGAAGAGCGAGGGGCGAGGGGCTTGTATGTTTGACGGAGCGTACGTTACACTCGAGGCATCGAACGCTGGGCAGAGAAGGGCAGATTGATGGAGGACGGTTCAATCGAGGGATGGATGGACGTTGATTTTTGAGGGCGATCAATAACGATAGTGTTGTTCGGGCGGTGGAGATTCGGTGGGTATTTGGGAAGAAGTAGTTATTCGATCAGAGAGAAGGGCAGCCTTTTGGAAGGGGTGCCAGGTCAAAGGATGGAGGAGGGGAGACGGGGGGGCAACACCAGAGGTTTGCTTTGGGAGGTAGGTGTTGGTTGATGAACGTTGTTGTCCTAGGACGTGAACACGAGCAGACATACGAACGGTGTTTGGAGAAGGCGATGGAGCTGGGGGGCCAGCCTATCCCGTTTGGCCTGGGTCATGCCGTCAGGGACACACTAGCGATGATTAGAGACGGCCACAGCACTGCACCTCTGCACCTGGTGCAACCTGCCTTGGCGGCCCGCAATGCACCGCTGAGGGTGCCCACAATAGGTAGGTACATGTCTCCCATGGTTGCTCTCCAGGTGAGGGGAGGTACCTACGCAGCGGCGGCGCCGGAGGGGGGGCATTGGCGGCGTGAGACGGGTGCGCCTGGCCCGTGTCGCGACAGTCGTTGCCAGTGACAGGGCACTTGCCTGGTTGGTTGGCCAGGGGCGACCGATCGCTGTAGGGGTGAAGGGAAGGGGGACCTCGGCGGGGAACTTGGGCCGGAGTCAGCCCGTCCTCGACTCTGGCCACCAAGGCATGCTGACTCTGGCCACTGGAGGTACCTAGGTATCTAACTCACGTAGTGCTGGGCCTAGAGGGCAGCTGAGATGACCAGCGCCTTTTCGACTTGACAACTCAATCCATCTGGAGGACGCGATCGCAGGCGAGATTCATCACTGTTTTGGCACGGCCACGGAGTCCAAATTCCAAATATTCTATGCAGTGCGGAAGCGTCTAGCTCTGCCTCCCATGGTCTATTCTGCCCTGGGGTACTCCCGCCAGTCTGGCAGCTGATAGCCCGTGCGATCGTCATCCCCGCGTCCCACCCACTCGGTTCCAATGTGCGGCACGACAGCGTCGTAAAAGACGCGGTACGCCTCGCCGCTCATGTGCAAGCCGTCGGGCAGCAGGTCGGCGAGGACACCGCGCTGGCCACTCTCAAAGGTGCCGAGCAGGGGCCTGCCGGGGCCGGCCTCGTAGTCCGGCGTCTTGGCGACGGCGTGGTCCATGAGGGCCTTCCACAGGTCGATGAGGACGACACCCTCGTGCTCGGCGGCAACGTCCCGCGCCAGCTGGGAGTACTGCGCGCTGATGGCGGAGTAGCGCGTCGTCTCGGGCCAGCCCTTTTCCTTGTCGAGGACCTCGATGCGGATCTCGTCCACGGGCGGCGGCGTCACGAGCAGAATCTTGGGCTTGTGGGCGGCGATGGCCGGGTGCGTGATGATCTTGGCCAGGTTGGCGCGGTACTTGTCCTGCGCCACGTGCTGCGTGTGCATCGGCCGCACGGCGTCGTTGGCGCCGAGCAGCACGAGCAGGTACTCGATCTTCGGCGTCGTGTCCGAGGGCGGCTGGAAGAGCGTGTCGAGGTGCTGGACCACGTTGGCCGTGTTGTAGCCCGAGAAGCCACGGTTGATCACGTCAAGGCGTCTGATGGTGTCTGGCGCCGTGTGAGTCCGGGATTTTCCTTTCTTGTCTCTATGACGGTCCAGTCATGTGGCCTCGGGACAACTCACGGATCTGCAGTTGCGACTGGAAGGAGAAGCCATCGAGAACCTCAACGGCGTGCTGAAACAGCGAATCGCCCAGCAGGACGACCTGGGGATAGGGTTTCTGGTAACTCGTCAGTCTACGTGCTTTGGCACGAGCTTTGTCAAGACTTTTCTAGCCGTGTACTGACCGTAGCCATGTTGGGGGCTTCAGAGGGGCTGAATGCGTCCGGGTGAAGGGTAGGAGGTGAGAGGGGTCAGGCCGCAGGGTGGTGGATTGTGTCTCGATAAGACCTCTCGTGTGGGTCAAGAGGCTGGCTGGTTGATAGGGAGCCTGATGGTGGTTGCAGATCGTAGGGATAAAAGGTCGACAAGCAACTCGGGGTGCATCACTCTTTTATGAAATGGATCCAAGCTGGGCCTCGGAGTGCGTACGACGAGCCACGGTCCATAGAGCCGACGCCTTTGGTGCGGACCAGGGCGTGCGGTAAATTCGGGTGATTTTTGATTCCTTCAATTGCTCCGTCGTCTTGTTGACATGACCCTCCCCCCCAAAAACGCCATTCAACCTCACTCAGCATGACACGAATGCGCCCTCCCGTTGACATTTTGTATGTGTTGTCAACATACCGACCCCCTTTTTTTTTCGGACGACGGGAAGCATGGGAAACAGAAAAAGCCCGCCGTGGCCGTCTGACGGAAGTGCTGTTGGCCTCGCTACAATTCGTGACGGCAGCCTGGTGTTCGGCGCGTGTCGTGGTGGAGGTGCGTTTGCAGGACCGGCGGGTTCCTCAGCCGTCGGGAGTATAGCAAGCGGCATCTGTGCCTGGGTGCGTGCTGTTCTACAATACCTGTAGGTATGTATGTACATGGACGCAGATTATGTGCTTGGATGCCTCGAGACATGTGCTGTCTGTCAAGTCGTGCCGTCCGCATTGATCGAGGCCATATGCCCTTGCATTGTACTTGCCCAAAGCCACATGACTTTGCATTGCACTTGCCAAGGTTGGTATTTCAGGTCCTAACTCCAAGCTAGGATTCAAGGGAAGTGCCTCTCAGTGTTGTACATGCTACAGTACACCCGCCGGTGCTGGTAGCCACCAGCCATCGCGGCAACCACCACCGTCGCTGCTGGATGCCCCGCAGTGGGTGGCCCTTTAGCGGCTGTGGGTGGACCGTCCTTATCAACAGTCCCCTCCATTGGCTGTAACCCCTTATCGCTTCCTTTCGCGGCAAAACGAATGGCCCGTCCAGAAAAAAAATCCAGACAAGCCCAGAGCAGGTACGACTACGCCAGCAATTGGATCGTCTCAAGGCTGGTTCGAAAGAAAAAAAACCGACACGGCAGCCTCGACAGTGGCCAACGACGTCGACAACCAAGATCCCCGCCACAACACATACACACACTCACACACACATACGGCATCACGCACACCACGGATGACCTCCTCCCAAATCTGCACGCCCTGAGAAAATGGCGACCTCCCTAGCCGCGCAGCTCGCGCAAATCGCCGCCAGCTCCAAGTCGTCCCTCAACGTCAAGGCGCAAAAGGCGTCCCACTCCAAGTCTCTCATCTTCGAGCCCCGCGTCGCCGCCACCCAGAGCTTCCAGGCTCTCTACACAATATGCCTCGAGGGCTTCGAGGAGCTGTGCCAGCTCGACCCGCGCTTCCGCCCCTTTGCCCTGACCCTCTTCAGCGAGCAGAGCCAGAGCGAGGACAGGACCCAGATGACGGCTGGCGAGAATGCAGAGCTCGACGCCAAGATTGAGGCCTTCCTGCGCCTCGCCGGCAGCCGCCTGCGTCTGATGCCTGCGGTCAAGGCCATCGAGTGGCTCATCAGGCGTTTCCAGTGCGTTGCTTGACCCTCCCCCTCCCCGACCTCACACAGCCTCCCGCTAACACTGAACGAGGATCCACGAGGACAACACGAAAGCCCTGCTGACGACCTTCCTCCCCTACCACTCCATACCCGCCTTCGTCACCCTGCTGTCCATCCTCCCCGCCAAGATACCCGCCGAATACCGCTTCCTGCACCCCTACATCCGCTCCCTGACGAGCCCGCCCCGCTCCGTCCTCGTGCACGAGGCCATCCAAAAGTCCGACTTCCTCTCGACCCTGTCCGAATACACCCTAGAGGCCTGCCGCCACCAGCAGCAGTACCCCACCCTCGTCTCCTTCTGGGGCGGCCTCATGACTGAGGCCGTCAATGGCCTGCTCGAGAACGCCCGCTCCGGCCGCCACGCCGTGCAGAAGGACAACGACCAGGCCCTGCTACAGCGCCTGGGCCCCGTCTTTGGCGAGGCCCTGCTCATGAAGAAGGTGCCCAGCATGCAGATCGCTACCTACATGGCCATCTCCGTCTTTGCCGCCAAGGGCCACTTTGACGACGGCGTCCTGTCCGCCTTTATGGAGCAGATTGTCCACGGCTGGAGCCACGAGACGGCCCGCCCCGGCCTCGTCTGCCTCTCCATTCTCGCCCAGCACCGCTCCGCCAAG